GTGATCAAATTATCTTGTGAAGTTAAAAAAAAAAGGTCCGCGATATTAATAAAGTTACAAAAACACATATTAAAACAAGAATATTAATCCAATTGAGATTAAATTTTATATGCAAATAGTATCGAACCTGCTGAACAACTTTTACTTAGAAATGAAAGGTGTGAATTTAAAAAAAAATGGTCTGCGATATTAATAAAGTTACAAAAACACATATTACAACATGAATATTAATCCAATCGAGATTAAATTTTATATAAAAATAGTATCGAACCTTCTGAGTAACTTTTTCTTAGAAATGAAAAGCAATTAACTTTAATTAAAGTGTTCAAATTTCCTTGTGAAGTCAAAAAAGTGTAACTTATTTAGTAAAGTTACAAAAAAAATTATTTCTACATGAATATTAATCCCATCAAGATAGAACATCAGATGTAAATAGTATCTAATCTGCCTAACAATTTTTACTTAGAAATGAAAGGTGATTGATTTTAACCAAAGTGCTTAAAATTCGTCATGAATTCTCTGTATTAATGTTTATAAAAAAAAAGATATTAAATATATATAAAAATTACAAGTTTAAGTATTTAAAAAATAAGGTTGTTTTTTTTTAAAGATTATGTTAAATAAAATAAAAGTATTTTTTTTTGTTAAAAAAAGAAAAAAAAAGATTGAAAAATTGATTTTCAGTATAACTATAATTAATCATGCAATTGTAATTAATCATGCAATTGTAATGTAATTAATCATCAAATTAAAAATTTTTATATCATTTTGCATATAATTTTTTTACAAAAAAAGCAAAAGAATTGAATCAATAATATATAGTTTATTAAATAATTTAAATAATTTGATCAAATTAGGTTAGATTAGGTCAGTTCAGGTCAGGTCGTATCAGGTCAAATGAAAATTTAAATCAGGTCAGATTTTTGTTTGACCTGACCTAGTCCTCTCAGTTCAGATAACTTGATTAATCTGACCTGAACTGACCTGTTTAGAGCTTTAATTTTAGCTAAAAAGATAAACTGATTTAGCCTAAAAAAGTAAAATTAATCATATAATAGTAAAAATAATAATCAAATAAAAAATAATGTATTAATATATTAAAAAATAATTTTAATCATCTGTGTTTACTACTGATCAAGAATGATCTGATCTAATTTAATACTGTTTAAGAAAAAAAATAATTAATCAATAAATAGATAAAATAAATAAAAAAGTTCTATTTAAAAGTTCCATATAATTCTTAGCTTAAAATAGAAACTGATCAAATTTAAAATAAATAAATGAAATTATTTATTAAAGATAAATAAAAACAATAAATCAAAAAATCAAAAAATAAGAATTTTAGTTAGTTTAGCTTCATTGTGATAATAATCTATTCAAAAACAATGTTTAAAATAGGAAATAATATAATATATAATAGATTCAGATGTAATTAAAGAATATTTTTATATAAATAAAAAAAATCACATTCACTTCTAATTTAATAAACATTATAATCTTTATATATACTAGCAAAATGTTACTTTCAAATATTAAGATCAGCCTTTGGCTAGCCATGATTATGAATCTAATTTTTATTAATAAAAAAAAGTTTATATATAGATATTCTGCCATTTGATTGGTTAATCTTTAAGGAATAAGGCTATACAGAGTAAATTTTCAAATTTACGAAAATTTAGGATTTTTTATAGTAAAAATTTTATCATATTATCTTACATAATAAAATCAGCATATCAAATTTTATTTAAAAGAAAGTGGTAAAATAATAATATATAAAAAATTTACATATGAAAAAGAAAAAGAAAACTAACTGTATAAATTTTAAAATTCTATTTAAAATTTCTATGCCTAGCCTAATCATACAACAATCACATTTAATTTCAAAATTATCTTAACTCTGTCAAAATGCCTATTATATAAGTTACAATTCTAAAGTTTTGAAGGATTGGAAAGGTTTACCTGTTGAGAAAGAAACAAAAATAAAAGATTTTTTTTGGAAATATATTGATTCTATATTTATCATCTGATTGGTGGAAAGCAGATTTTGAAGTAAAGTTTAGCTCATCAAAACATTAGTTGGAGAAAAAATTTCAGCACAATGTATTGCTCGGGAAGCTGCATGAAACTAATGAGTTGTAAGAAAGGAATTATACATATCGATATTACAATAAAGTTTTAATCTACCAATAAAAATTACACATTATAGTCACATGATAAACTTTTTATATATAAACTTTTTTTCGTTAAAATTTGAAAAAGTGATCCAGCCAGGTGACATGAACCGAAAAATCGAAGTTGCATGGCCTTATATGACAAACAAATTTTTTTGAAATATTGTTCCGGAAATATTATCCAAATATCTGCTAAATCGAAAATAAAAATATTTTTTAGAAATGATAAAAGGTTGAGTTCCAAAAAAATCATGTGTGGGTCAGTTTTTTTCTTTTCTTTTAGGCTTCTGTTTCGTGTTAGATCACTTCTACAAGTATTAGGTAATTTTTTTTATTTTGGGTTGATTGGTTTTTTTTCACCATTGGAAACCTTTGGAAACATCAGGCTGAAAGATGATTGCTTTAATTATTATTATGCAGTTAACTGGTTTTTTTTTATTCATTATTTTTCAAATTTTTTTTTTTTTTAGACGGTATCAATATTGCTAAAGGTAACGACGCGTATATAATTAAATAATTTATATTTATTATCTTAGAATTTAATATAAATGTTTCGGTAGGTAGTTCGACTTTGTTTTGTATTAATAAGTCTTGAGAAAAGACACTCTATAATTAATATAAATTTTTATTTACACGATTCACTTGTGTAATTTAGTTATTACAGTAAGTTTTTTTTATTGATTTTATCCTTAAATTAAATTATTTTAATTTAATTTTTTTTTCCTAGGTAATTTCTTTCGGTTTGGAATTTTTTTTTTGGATCGCTTCAAAAGTTGCTTCGTTGATTTTCTTCCAAAGGTGGATCGTTGAATTATGCCTTTGTAGTTAGTCAGTCTCCTAAGTTGGCGCAGTAAATACTTTACGTACGTATTATTCAATTTATCGGACTTGTATATCCAATTATTTTATATATTGTACTTTACTTACTCTTTTTACACGACAGTATATAGATAGAACTTTCAAAAAAAAAATATTCATAAAAATAATCAACGTCTTTCATTCGAAATTATATAAAATCTTTTTTTATGACGGTATCTTCCAACGACATCATTATATTAGTTCATCATTTTCATTCTTTTTGAGAATTTTTGTAAGGTTGAATTTCCCTCGATATAAATAAGTTCCGTTGCGAATTTCATAATAAACTCGTTAAAACAACGTGCAGTTAATTTATTTGGTAAGACAAGGAACGGTAGATCCTTTTTAAGCTATCCCGAGCAGACTAGATTAATTAAGGGAATTATTTACAGTTGAACCGAGGGCTGAGTAAAAGAGAGATTTCTATTGGTGCAAGAAAAACATTGAAATATCCATCCGAACAAATTAAATAAAAAAAAATTCAATCAAAAATGGTTTTAAAGAATAATTTGGAAAAATCCTTAAAAAATTTGGAAATGAGAGGAGAGTTAAGGAGTTAGAGCAACGTAACGAAGGGTTACGTTTACAATTCAAATCTTTAGAAGAAAAGGTTGGAGAGCGAGAAGAAGAAACCAAGGCCAATATGAATAATTTGGAAGAAAAGGTTAGAGAACGAGAAGAAGAAACCAAAGAAATTATTAAAAATTTAGAAGAAGAGGCCAAAGCCAAGCGAGTAATTATTAATAATTTAGAAGAAAAGGTTAGAGAACGAGAAGAAGTATCCAAAGAAAAACAAGAAATTATTAATGAATTAGAAAAAAGGATCATAAACCTTGAATTAATTATATATGATGATTCTATTAATTTAACCATTAATTATAAAAATAAGGATTACTTATTAAATGTCTCAGGCGGATTGCAAAGATATCGGAAATTAAAAGTGCTCAAATGTATTAGTACTCAAATTACCAGCCTACCAACTTTACCAAATTCCTTAACTGAACTTTATTGCTCTTATACTCAAATAACTGTCCTACCACCATTACCCAACTCCTTAACTATACTCAGGTGTTATAAAACTCTAATAACTATCCTATCAACATTACCCAACTCCTTAACGAAACTTGATTGCTCTGATACTATAATAACTATCCTACCAACATTACCTAACTCCTTAACGGAGCTCATCTGTTATAATACTAAATTAAATAGCTTCCAACATTACCCAGCTCCTTAACAGAACTTAATTGCTCCATTACTGACATAACTATCCTACCAACATTACCCAACTCCTTAACTTATCTTAATTGCTCTAATACTCCAATAACTATCCTACCAACATTACCCAACTCCTTAACGGAACTTTGTTGCGGTGAAACTGAAATAACTATCCTACCAAATATACCCGATTCCTTAACAACGATTTACCCTGCATATTTAAAAATTCTTCAGACACTAGTTTGAATGAGAAATTAGTCCATTCAAATATCAAAAAATACTTAATTTTAACTTGCTCAAATTTAATTAATATTTTTATTTTCACCTTTGAAGTGGACCAAATCATTTGAAAACATCTTGTTACGTTCTTAATTAAATAACAAAGTATGGGGATATAGGTTAAAGATATATAAACGAAACCTATATTTATAGTGTTGTATACAGTTCTTTCGTTTATGTATTTATAAACACTTTTAAATGTAAGCAGAAGGGTTTAATTAAGTAAAAATGAAGCAAATGTTGACGCTAAATTTATTTAAAAATATCAAATTAATCAGTGTTGCCTCAAAGTCGGCGCTCTACACTTTTGCAATGTCAATATATTAAACTAAATAATTGCTAATTAAACCTGCGCAATTACGAAAAATAATAAAATACGGAAATTAAAAATAAACGGAATTACAAATATAAAATTAAAATGTTAAAACGGTGAAAACGAAAATATCACGAAGGGATAAAGGAATGTTTTTTAAGGTGTATACAAGAAGGGCGAGCGTGGTGTGTTGAACTGTTTAAGGATTTCGGCTCGCATTTATATAAAAATAATTATTAAGACAGCTTGACATCCTGCCATTTTGTCATCCTGCCAACCTGTCACCTTGACAACCTATAATGATCTTACTGCAAATATCGAAAACAATTAAGATACGAAATTATGGTGTCTTTGGACTGTAATGTAACAATAGTCATATTTGCAGTTTGAAAAAGTCTAAATTGTAACTAAAGATCTTTCAGAAGGCTTGAAAATAATTAGCAACACCTTAGAGGCAAGAGATGGCACTGGCGGCTATTTATATTGCATCATTAATATTTGAATGTATTTAAAAATCGATTTAGTACATTACAGACTGAAATAACGTTTTATCATCACAATATTGAATTAAATACTAATTTTTTTAAATAAAAAAAATATTTTATAAAGTTAAAGCCGAAATAATTAATTCATTATTTATAGCTAGAGCGTGACAGCTTATGCTATTCTTATGATAATTTATGTCAATCTTGAACATTAAAATTTAATCCAACTAAAATTAAATATAATTACAATTTTTTCAATTTTATAATCTCAAAAAGATACATCATTTGATTTTCAGCCTATATAATTTATTCCAAAATGGACAAGTTTTCAAAAATAACTAAGGGATACTGCGGTGTTTTTATATATTAGCGTTAACTTAATCAGTTGAGATGGTACCGATTCCGAAGAGGTGAATAGAAACATATACAATTTTTTTTTTTTTAAAAAAAAAATAAATAAATGAAAGCGTTTTTGTATTAATTTTTAATCTAAAAAAAAAATTTGCAGAAATTTTATTTGTATGCTACTGTTTATTTTTTTTTTTGACTTGAAATACTTCATATTCTTCTATAGAAAAGTAATCTTCGGTTTCTCTGATTTCTTTTTCATAAGAATTCTTTACACAACAACTTTGATCAAAAAAAGCATTTCCATGTATATTAAGATCTGTCTGACCAAAAGATGGACCATGATTTCTCCCATTCTTTATAGCAAAATTATTATATTTTACCCGACTTAAAATGCAATTTTCAATATTATCTTTACCCTTAAAAGAGAAGATAAAACTTTCAATAGTTGTAGTAAATGAAATATAAAATGACAAAGGATCAATCCATGCAACGGGATTGTATCCTCCAAGAATTTCGTCTCTACCTTTCACTTTGAAAATCGTTACGGTACGAGTTTGATTATCGCAAATTTCATGGAAATTTTTGGATGCAAACCCATCACGAGATCCACAAAGTAATAATTTAAATTCATATTGAATTTTTAGTTCGTCTTTAACATCTGTTCTATTAATCCATTTTGAGATTAATTCAACATGTTTATCTGTGATAATTTGTGAATTAATAATTTTTGTATCAACCATTTTAATTTCCTTAGTTAACTGAGGTTTTGAAACGTCACTTGGTTTATAGTCATAGTCCAATAGTCCAAGAAATAATTAGTTAAATCTACATATAATTCTTTTGGCAACACCTTCTTGTAAGGAAGAACTTTAGTCAAAAATTCCCTGGAAGTTAAATTTCGAAATCTTATAAATGGGATGCATTGTTGTAAGGTATTCATCAAAATTTTGAAGTCATCCTTTGAAAAATTAGAAGGATCCGAAGAAAGTTCCGGGTTTTGAGCGAGTCCCCATTTAAGTACATGATCCCAAATTTGAACTCCACTCATTGAAAGTTTATCATTTTGAATAAGAGTGATCAAAGATTTTTCTGGAATTGAAACAAAATCAACGGAATTAAATAATTTTTCTGGTTCTTTTAACATTAAATTGGTACAAAATTTTTGAAGTTCCAAGAAAGAATCATGTTTAAAACTTGTCTGATATATCGAGTTAAAGTTATTTTCCATCCAATCATTTTTATTTTCAATTAAAAATAATTGTAAATGGATAACCAATTCTTGAAGATTTAATTCACCAGCAGCAACCAAGACATTAATAGTATCTAAAGTATCATATTCCTCCAAAGAAAGTCTTGCTCCATAAATATACCTTAAAATAAACAAAAAAAAAAAAAAATTATTAAAAATTTAAAATATATTTTATCATACATTAAAGCAAATCTAATTTAAATTACCTCAGGATTACATGAAATGTTTCAGGCAGGATATTAGTTAATTTAATATGCACCAAAGTTCCATCATTTTTCTTTTTGTTGGTGGACAAAATTCTTTGCAAAATAAGGAGAACGATAATATAAAATTATCATATGAGCACGAAACACTTTTACATGAGGATCCGTCCCAACTTCAATCTTAACATCATAATATTCATCATCCTCTAAACATTCAAGTAAATTTTGCGATAATTTCGGTAAAAATTTATTATCTCCCATTAAAAAAAAATTTTTTTAACGTGAGAAATAAAATGAAAATCAAATTTTAGAGTTATTTTACATATTTATATTAGCGTTAAACGGAGTTGGAAATAGAAATGTAGATCGTTGCACAACAATTTTCGTGCGAGTTGAATTTTTTGTGAAATCCGTAAAAAAGTCGAAATAAGTAAAACCAGACAAAGTAATCTGTATTTATAGAAAAAAAGACCTCCAATTTGGAGTACAGTATATGGAAAAAAAATTGATTCAACACTATTTAAAGCAAACCAATTGAAACAAGTGTCAAACTAACAGAACACTATAACCATTTAGGTTAAGAATCGAGGAAAAGTTTATCGAGGGAGGGTTAATCAAATTTAAGTGGTTAATGTTTATTAATTTTTTCTATCAATGATTTTGTTGATTTGGAAGTTCTTAATATTTACGAGGGCGAAATTAACATTCTATTTATAATTAGAGTTTCGTTAACAAATTATAATTTTAAATATTTCAAAATTAATTTTATAAATTTCAAGTAAAATGACTTTTAGTTTTGGGAAACATGTCTATCGCATCCTTATTCATCAAAAAAATATTAAACAGCAAGTTTAGCGTAATATCATGTAGGTGGCGTAAATTAGCTTAAGTTTACGTAAGTTTACAGTAAGGTGTAAAAATTTACACTTTTCAATTTCTCGATGTTTGATTTTTGACCTTACTGGATATATTATGTTAAAGATGTATTAGTTATTCCTTCTATATTGAAAGAGTACACAATTTGTTGAATTATGTGATTGTTATTACCAGTAAATAATTTACTGCGGCTCTGCTGTAACTTTCAACTTTATAATATAAAAAACTGCAATTATTACTACTTAACGTAAAGAATTAACTAATTATGGTGTTGCAAGGTGGTAGGGTTTAGACCTTCTTGTCATTGTCATAATATATATATAATAGAAAAGGAGGAAATCTAAATTTTGATAAAATTTTTTTTTATTGATCCACTTGACTGATCATAATCATGTACTTAAAATTATCTTAGGAACTAAAATTAATGAAAAATTTAGATTTCCTCCTTTTTATCCCATATGATGATCAGAAAGGCGAATAAAATTAATTATTGTTAGTAATAAAACAGGTGCATTTATTTGCTAAAAGCTATAGGTATTAAAGGACAGGTTTAAAAACCGGGACTTATAGACGACCCAGTCCAAATAACTTTTTGGTACAGGATAAATCCAACCTTAAAGCCATTCAATTCTTGTATAAAGCATTTTACTTGATTTTTTATGTGATTAGAAATATAACAAGGTGTATTTGCCCAGTATCCAGATGAAGCTTATATATCTTATAACGATTTTTACTCAATCACAATAGTTATATCTTATCAAATGGAAATTCCAATGATGATTGTATTGAATTTCATATATAACATTCAAATTATAAACCCATTACGGAAGCATTGATGATAATTTATTCCTTAACACAGCCAGGATATTAGCAGTAATAATTTTGGGTTTTTACAGTACATTTATTTGGTCATTTAGTTTGATATAATAGCTATTCATTTGGTTTGAGCCATATTTATTATAAGGATTTTTAGCATCACTTGCATTATTTTTCTCACGATGTACTGTATATTCGCTTCAATAATCCTAGAATTTTTAACCTTTTTGGATTACGACAACGCAAATTGCAAAGAACAAATCAAAACACGATGTGTTAGGCCTTTTTGTGTAAATTTGATTTACATATATTTCAAATGCATAGTTTTTTTTTATAAGATATGCAGTACAGTATCTTTGATTAACGAGAATTTTTAATCGAAATCATTTCCAGTTGTCTTTATCAAGAATATTTATAAGTCGCTTTTGATAGAAAATTGAAAAAGTTGGTTTTGTAATGTGGTATCATCCAATATTCAAGAAATTCAGTAAAATTAGCTTATTTTCTTTAGGAATTAAGTAGATTCATCCTAGATTTTCTATTATCTGTATTAGCAATATGAGAATAAGCCTGAATAGATTGTAAATTATATATGATGGAATAATAAATCGTTTGCGTGATTAATTGATTTCTTAAAATTTTTTATCTTATTTACCGTTTATTTATTCTAAAAACAAAAAAATAGCAAAGTACCACATTTATCCATTACGTTTTCGTATAGAAATTACAATAATTGTAAATTTTATAAAATGTAATATAATAGTTTGTAAAAAAGATTATAAATAAAACGTGAAAGATTAACGAATAAAAAGTACTACAGTTTTTCTTTCAGAAAAAAGTAATCCCGTTTATTCCCAACCCCCCATGAATTACTTGCATTCTTGAAAAAATTGTTTTATTTAAAAATTACATATAAATACTTTCCGAAGTTTGTTAGAGCTCTTTTTAGATCACAATTTAAAGGAATATTGAGATGAATTATCACCTCTCAATATTTTAAAAATTGAGGAAGTTTGCTAATAAAAGAAATAAGTATCTAATTGCGAACTTGCTTGGTAAATGTGATAAATTGTTGTAAAGACATCAATATTTGCTTTTGAATGTTATATAGTTAACAGTACATTAAAAAGGTAAAAAAATTTTAAAGTTTCTGTTGATTTTTTGACGTGATGATACGATACATGAATACTTTTAATATTAAATGACTAATCACTCATGTAATGTAACTGATAACCAATAGTAAAAAAAAGATTCATCGAAAGTTTGTTTTATGAGGATAAAAATATAAATAATGTACGCTTTTTTATGGTCAAGATTTAATAAACTTTTTTAATTTTTATTGTATGAATGGCGCTGTAGTTTGAAATAAAAAAAAAAAGGAAATTAAATATCTAAATTGATCAAGCTTCGGTTGAATTTCTATTACATGTTTGTTAAAAGATTTTGTAACTTCAATAAAACATAGAATATTATTGGAATTAATGAGAAGTTGTACGAGAATTAGATATACCAAATTTAAGAGCTACGATAATATTATTAAGATACGTTGTTCATACGCTAAATGTTGGAGTTAAAGGTCGGTCAAAGGCCTTGCCTACAGATTTTAACTGGCAATTTACTACTAGTTTATATATAGTAATGTGGGCGAAACCGATATATATCGCCCATATCCGAAACCGAAATTGTCCGAAATTACTTTCGCCCGATAGTGTAATTTTCCGATATTCCAAAACCCTATCCGAAATTAATTATCCGTAATTTATAAATAATAGAATAAATATATTTAAAAAATAAATTTTAAACAGTTTATTAATTATGTAATCATTATCAAAACAAATCATTATCATCTACATTTTCTTTCATTATTTTATCTAAACCTGCTCCGCATCTAAATTTACTATACTTTCAATTTCTTCCTCATAATTAAATTGTTCATTTTCGAAATCTTCTGCTTCTTGTAAAAATTCATAATCAACATCTTCAAATACCTCTCAAACTTCAGATGGTACTTCTGGACATAAATTTGCCGAATGCTCTTCACATATTTTTGGTGATCCCTTATACCATATTTTTTACAATAAGCACAGGTAGCATTATAATGTCCTTTTGAAATTTGTCGACCTTGTTTAATATGTGTTCCCATATTATAGATTTTGAATGTAAAAAAAAATCGAAAAATAAATAAATAAAAAATAATTAATTAATTAAATTACGGTTAAAAACTATTTTAGACAAATAGTTTTACATTTTAATTTATTGAATTAACCTATTTTCGGATATATCGGATAGTATCGGAAGACTAAAATATTTCGGAATAATTCGGATTTTCTCCCAAATTACGGAATTTAGGAACAAATTTCGGATCAGCCGAAATATTTAGGATTTGAAAATAGGATTTCGCCCACATCATTATATTAAATAAATGACTATTAAATTGTTAATATAATAAAATTTTTTTGCTAATTAAAAGCATGACATGTTCAGTCTGTCAAACCGGTCGGTCAAAAATCGGTCGTCAGAGATGGCCATGACCGTGACTACATCCCTAGAGTGTGTTGCATGCATCAGAAACTTTTTTTTATAAAATTATTACAAAGACTGATTATTCTAATTTTACTGATAATACAATAGAATTTTATTGAATTTTATAAAATTCAAGTCGTATTTGAATGTAAATAAAAAAATTAGCAAAGGAAAATGTAAAAGTAAAAAATTTAGGATTATGCATATTAAGAAATTGACGAAATTTAATTTTTACCCAAATGTTATTGCAAATAATAAAAAACAAGTTTTATCAATATTTTCTTTAGACCATTTCTTCTTTGTAGTCTTTATTTATTTTTATTATTTTTTATCAATAGATATTTGATTTACTTCTGCAAAAGAATAAATTCTAGCTAGTTGATCAAATAATAAAAATAATAATAAACTTATCCTAATATAAACAATCTATCAATATTTTGATTATCCCTCGATAGACCAACATACGAAAATCATTTGTTTCGATTTGCAAGGGCAATTTCATTCAACTATCATTAATCAAGTTTTTTAGTATTTAAATGTTGTTACTAAGCAATTTTCATTTCTAATTCACATGATGATCAACTTTGGATGTTTCAAAGTTGAACCAATTTTTTATTTATTTTGACATTTACGGGCTGAGCAAAAACATTAATTAATGTTGTGCGACAATGTGACATTGATCATCATTTTTAATTTCCCAAAGTTGATAAAAAGAGAGGTGTTTCTCACAACATTAAAAAAAGTCAGAATAAAAATTATAATGGCAGATTTAAAGTTTTTACCGAAATTATCACAAAATTTACTTGAATGTTTAGAGGATGATGAATATTATGACGTTACGATTGAAGTTGGAACGGATCCATATGTAAAAGTATTTCGTGCTCATATGGTAGTTTTATATTATCGTTCTCCTTATTTGCAAAGAGTTTTGTCCACCAACAAAAAGAAAAGTGATGGAACTTTGTTGCATATTACGTTTCCTAATATCCTACCAGATATTTTTCATGTAATCCTGAGGTAATTTAAAATAGATTTCTTTAGTGTTTGTAAACAAAACATTTTAAATTTTATAAATTTTTTTTTTGATTTCAAAGGTACATTTACGGAGCGAAACTTTCTTTGGAAGGATTTGATAATTCAGATATCATTAACATCTTGATCGCCGCTAATGAATTAAGTCTTCAAGAATTAGTCATCCATCTACAATTATTCTTGATTGAAAATAAAAATGATTGGATGAAAAAAAATTTTAACTCGATATATCAGACAAGTTTTAAACATGATTCTTTCTTGGAACTTCAAAAATTTTGTACCAATTTAATGTTAAAAGAACCAGAAAAATTATTTAATTCCGTTGATTTTGTTTCAATTCCAGAAAAATCTTTGATCACTCTTATTCAAAATGATAAACTTTCAATGAGTGCTGTTCAAATTTGGGATCATGTGTTAAAATGGGGACTCGCTCAAAATCCAGAACTTTCTTCGGATCCTTCCAGCTACACAAAGGATGACTTTAAAACTTTGAAGAATACCTTACAACAATGCATCCCATTTATAAGATTCCGCAAATTAACTTCCAGGGAATTTTTGAATAGAGTTCTCCCATACAAGAAAGTATTACCAAAAGAATTATTTGTGGATTTAAATAAATATTACTTAGACTACGACACTCAACCAAGTGAAATTCCAAAGAGCTCAACAATTATTGGTTCAAAAATCATCACAGATAAACATGCTGAATTAATCTTGAAATGGATTAATAGAATGGATGTTAAAGATGAATTAAAAATTCAATATGAACTGAACTTATTACTTCGTGGATCTCGTGATGGGTTTAAATTTGGAAGGTTTCATGAAATTTGTGATAATAAAACTCATACTTTGACAATCATTAAAATAAAAGGTGGTGACGAAATACTTGGAGGGTACAATCCTATTGAATGGAATAATTTAAAGTCATTTAATCAACCATTTTATAATACTAAGGAAAGTTTTATATTCTCGTTTAAGGGTAAAGAAAACATTGAAAACTGTATTTTAAGTCGGGTAAAAGATGTAAATTATGCTATAAAAAATTGGTTTTATAGCGGTCCTTCATTTGGTCAGACAGATCTTAATATAAATGGAACTTTTTCTGATCAATGTAATTGTAGTTGTAAAATGAATTCTTATGAAAAAGAAATCAGAGAAACTGGAGATTACTTTTGTATAGAAGAATATGAAGTATTTCAAGTTAAAAAAAAATAAACAAAATATATATAACAACATGTAAACATCATATACTTATAGAATAAATTCTTTTATAAAATATTTTATTATCTTCAATGTATCCTTGTTAGTTTATCGTGATATTTATTTGCATGCAAATTTAAGGATATTTAAGTGTTGCCTCAACGTCGACATTCTATATTTCCGAAATTCCGTCTATTAAAACAAACCGATAAAAATTGCTTAATTAAAACTTAGAAAAAAAGAAAATTTATTTATCGGATAATAAAGATCATAATGAAAAGGATACTAATTTTGTTGTAAAGATAATTTGGCAAGAGGGCTTTATTCTAGAAGTCGTTTTGGCATATGGACAATTTGTCCAGGCGACATTTAGGTCAGAGACATTATGGACAGATAACAAATATGCCGAGGGCAAAACCGAACTACAAGGGTATCAATACTTAATTTGCTTTGCATTACAAAGTAAAATAAAATAACAAAAAGTCTGCACAATTGTTTAATTATTTTTTTCCAAACAACGGTTTCCGTTTCCTATATATATACTGATATTATCAGAGTTTTTCTGTTGTAATAATAAGTCTTGAAATAAGACTTTTCAAAAACTCAACTAATAACACTACATTTCATAATTCATATAGGTTAATTAAATTGTTAACTAAATATTTAGGACAGGCCTTTAGTTTGATTTAAAATTTAATTTGTTGACTTAACTTTAGTTCATTTCTAGTTAACACCACCATTATTTCTTATTTATCATAACCATTTACTCCACCTTTATTATGCTCTTTGACCAAATATGTCTCTGAGACAAAACTTCGCCTGGACAAATTGTCTACATACCATAATCGTTCTCTGGGCATATTTTTCTCTGGTTAGGGATGATAACGGTCGGTCAAAGCCTTAGACCAACCGGTTTTAACTGAGTATATAATTTCAGTTTTTTTGACTTATTTTTATTCGGCCAAATATTATAATTTAAACTTTGTTTCAAAAACGCTAGCGTAGAATTACTGATTTCTTCTTTATATAAATTTTTTTTATGACTTAATTTATTATATGTTGGCGCAATATTTTATTTATTTTTTAAAATTTCAAAAATCTTATTTTTATACCGATGTAACGATAATATTTTATGCTCCCCAACATCGCTATATGACTGTATATACAGTAATACGATAAAAAAAATTACCAATACGATAAAATCGGTCTAACGCGGCCAAAAATTTACCCGATTTTGATTTCCTAAAATGGAAAATTCGAGGTGATGATCATACTAAATAAATTCTGACCTCCTTTTTAATCGGACGTTGTTATTAGTTTTTTTCTGAGCTTCTGCGTCATAAAACAATTTTACAATTGTGGAATATTCAATGGGGCTCTAATCCCCTTTCTACTATACATGACAATATAAAAAAAATACTAATGCGGTAAGTGCGGTAAGTAGAAAAAAGGTAGTAGTCGTCCAAGGAAAATCACCGGCAAATTTTCCAAGTCCCTTGGATAAAGTATCCGAGGATAAACTTCGATACCAACAAGGACTTTGGCCAACAGGAACTTGAAGTATCCATATGATAATATCAAGACTTTTAGCTGCCAATGATTATAAAAATCTCTTCCAAGGGCGATCCTAATGCTTACTGCTGCCCATAAACAAAAACGTATCGAATGGGCGCAGCACATTAATGATGATTGGAACACGACTTTATTTTCGTGATGGAATGGCCTACTAACTCTTCCAGAATACTGTGAAGCGTTGGCACAAAATAATTCCGGCCGAACAAAAATTTTTGCATAGGGTGGGTTTTACTTAATGAGCAAAACAAGTTTGTTTTGATTCCGCCAAATAATGAATGTCCAATGAATCATATTCCAGAGATCAACGAAATGCATGGTGATGATTGGCGGCTTCAGTAAGACAATGACCCGAAGCATACCAAGCCGTCTTGCTAAAGAATTCCATCAAAACAATGTCCCAGTGTTCATGGACTGGCTCTCAAATAGTCCGGACTTAAATCCGATAGAAATCCTATGGGCTATTGTTAAGGGGAATGTAGAGCGCCGAATGTCAAAAATCTCGCGGAATTAGAGAGACTATGACTGAGGAATGGGGGACAATTCCAGATTCCGTTTAAACGAACCTCGTAGGTTCAATGAAACAACGTTGTGAGCTAATTATTGAAAACAGTGGAGAACGAATCTCATTTTTATTTTATTATTGTAATCAGCTCGTTTATAGCTTTCAAATAAAAATTTTTATAATATTTTATACTGCTGATGCAGGTATTTGTAATTCTGGTTTTTTTTTTTGTTACACACTGTATTATAGAAATGATTGAAATTAATTTTGAAATACAAATTGCATGGTTGTTCAGCAAGTCAATTCTTATAATCAGTCTACCAACCCCGGTCGGGTCGATCAGAAGCATTTGACCGATATCGATCATGATTATAACCAGTCATGACCGATCATGACCGTGACCTTTAGCATCCCAACCTCTGGCCAAATTGTCCTTACAAAAAAAATAATATATTAACGATGGTTTCTCTTTGTGAATTAGATAGTTAATTGAAATCATTCTTCTTTTATTATTATACTCCTTTCACAAATTAAAATAGTATCAGTTCTTTACGTTTATATTATGAACAAAGTTAAGAACAAAGATAACGATAACAAAATAAAGAGACGTAACAAATAAATCACGTGTCTAATTTAACTTTAAATGTCTTATGGTTCTTTTATTCAAAAAATATTTTGTTAGTGAGTTTGAATATTATTAGTTCGTTCGATCGTTATGAAAAAATGAAAAAAAGAACACACATAATAATAAACACATTTCATTAAATATACAAACAAATTTGCTCAACACGTTAATCTTATATTTTTAACTAAGTACTAGACATGCAATGTGAAAAAGTTAGAGATCGCTTTGGTGGTATTTAAGGGATTTCTTAAAAACTTCAATATTTCAATAGCTTGAATTTCAGATAGTAAAATATTTTTATTTAAATTGTAAATCAGGCATATTTATAACATGATGAATATAACAAAAATATCACAACAATTGTTATTTAATTTAAAAGGAGCGACTAAGACGAAGGGGGTTGCTACGCTTAATATTTCTCCTTTTGTTATTGTTATCAAAGGTGCCAGTTAGACTACTCGTCCCTAAGGTGAAGTCTTTGTCTGCACTATAACCTGTTCGATATGTACCTTCTACAAACACACTTTGAGTAAACAAAAGAACAACATCAACAGTTTGAGCAAAATTGTGTGTGTTAGCAATAACTAAGCACCATGGTTCAGGATATGGAATTGGAAATTGCTTCATGCAAGCAGTTGCGAAACCTGTAATTTCACATTAGAATTAACTGTTCCACATCGTGATTGTAGAATAGCTTTTTTAGTATTAGACACCTCAGCAAAAAATCCATATTTTGCTTGAGAAATCACTTTTGTTCGTTCATAGTCTATTTGATAGTATTTGCCGTCATAATAAGTCGGATCTAAAGCTTTATTTTGGCTTAATTTTATAGCGTAGTTTAATATAAGAAAAAGTTTTTTTAGTTATAATTTGTGCATTGTTAAATATAAAAACGTTCGAAACGCATTCGCTATTTTTGGTGCTTTAGCGCATTATATCCACACCGCATTTGGAGGAATCAAAAGATATGATGTGGTAATTTCACTTGTGGTTCCTGAGCTGAGATCACAAGTACGTAATATTTAACAAAATTTGTTAAATTATTATATAAAAAGGAAAGATCAAAAGATGTTTGAGATAAATTAATGCACCTGTAACAAAATTAGATGATATTAAGGTTTTCATTTTATAAACTTTTATTTTTTTTTTTTTGATCATTATCGTTATCACTTGAATGCATTTTATGTTTTTGTTAAAAAATAAAATAAAATAAAAGGGAAGCAAAGAAAAGCTCATGTCATTTTATAATAAAATTTTTTAAAAAATATTTTACTTTTTAAAAATCTTTTATTTTTAGTTTCTTTCCCAATCCTTCAAAACTTTAGAACTAAAACTTATTTTTACATGTATAATAGGCATTTTGACGGGGTCAAGATGATTTTGAAATGAAATGTGAATTAGGCCGGGCAAAGAAAATTTTTAGAACCACCAACGAAAGGACCAAAGAACCACCAACGTAAGTACCAACGAAAGGATAGATTCTCATAGCATAAAATTTTAAAATTGATACGGTCACCCGGTTTTTTTTCTTTTCATTTTTTTTATATATGTATTGTTATATTCTGTATCACACAAATAAATCTTTCGCCGATATGCCGATTTTATTATGTAAGCCACATTATAACAATTTTAATATAAAAAAAAAAATCCTGAATTTTCGTAAACTGACACGGCCGGGTCACAGAATCTGAAAATTTACATTGCACGGCCTTGTCCCCTTAAATATTGACCAATCAGATGGCATAATATTTGTATATAAACTTTTTTATTAATAATAAATAATTAATAAACTCCGGGTCTCCGGTTCGATTTTAAATTTCAATGTTACGTAAAACCAAAAAATCAAAGTTGCATGGCCTAATCAAAATTTTTATTATTTGAATATTTTAGCTTAGATCTGTTATGTGTTCGTTAAACGAAGATTTTTGCCATTTCTCTTTCATCTTAATAGATTATCTAAAGATGCGCATTAAAGAAGTTTCTTGGTGGAATAAATTCAAAAGAATTTCTGTGACTACTTGTTTATACCTGTAAAATTAATTCTATAAAATTATGGTAAATAACTGTCAAATAAATTGATTAGCAATCTCCCTACCAAAAAGCAAACTTTGGTAATTCAGGATCAGCATATAATGGTCAAATATTACCGATGATCCATATTCAATTGCAAATGATATTCATTGTTCGTTTGTTGCACAACTTTGCATACTTTAGGGGGCTCATTCCAAATATTATTAATTCATTAATATAGCTACGTATATTTTATTAGAAGGTATGCAAATACAAACTTTGTCACAAAATAAAGACACAATTCTCCTAAATTTAGGTCAATAAAAGAAACACAACCAACAATTGTCTTGAGTGAGCAATCTCAATAAAGATTTTTCATATTATCTAAAAGGAATTATTAAATCTGAAAACCATGTTTAGATGGCTCTAGCTCCAAACATTTTTTTTTTATTTTTTTTAGTATTTTAGAGTAGAGCCTTGGATACTTTATGCTGATTTTACTGCTGTTACAGCTGAAGAAATGAGATGTTGTTAGTAGAGTACTTTCGCTGGTTTTTGTGAATCTTCCCATTTTAAAAATAATGATTGAATAAAAACCGGGTCGGTCAGAAACCTTTGACCGATATCGATCATGATTATGACCGGTCATGACCGATCATGACCGTGATCTTTAGCATCCCAACCTCTGGCAAAATTGGCCTTACAAAAAAAAAAAATCAATATATTAACGATGTTTTCTCTTTGGGAATTAGTAATTCGTTGAAACCATTCTTCTTTTATTATTATACTCATAACATATTCCTTTCACAAAAAAATCGTATTGCGCCTATTTCTTTACGTTTTATATTATAAACAAAGTTAAGAACAAAGATAACAAAAATAAAGAGACGTGCACAATAAATCACGTGTGTAATTATGACGTTGTTTTTAGACCGTTTTATGGTTCCTTTATTCAGAAAATAATTTGTTAGTGAGTTTGAATATTATTTGTTCGTTCGTTCGTTATGAAAAAAGGCACACTATAATAGTTATCACATTTATTCAATATGCATACGAATTTGCTCAACTGTACTAGACATGTAATGTGAAAAGGTTAGAGATCGCTTTGGTGGTATTTAAGGGATTTCTTAAAATCTTCAATATTTCAATAGCTTGAATATCAGATAGTTTTAATATATTTATTTAAATTGTATAGTAGGCATATTTATAACATGATGAATGTAACAAAATATCACAACAAATATTATACTAATTGGTTTAAATTATAATTTAAAATGAGCGACAAGACGAAGGAGGTTGCTACGCTTTAATATTTCTCCTTTTGTTGTTGTTATCAAAGACGCCAGTTAGACTACTCGTCCCTAAGGTGAGATCTGAGTTTACACTAGAATCTGTTCGGTATGTACCTTCTACAAACACACTTTGAGTAAACGAAATAAGAACATTGACTGCTTGAGCTACTTTGGTTGGGTTAGCAATCAGTAAGCACCATTGTCCAGGATATGGAATTAGAAATTCTCTCGCGCAACCAGTTGAGAGATTTGTAAGTTCACCATTATTGAGTGTTCCACATTTTGATATTACAATAGATGCTGTATCATTAGCCACCATAGCATAAAATCCATATTTTTCTTGAGAAGTTAATTTCAATTTATAGAAATCGCCGCCATAAAAAGTCGGATCTAAATCTTCATTTTGGCTGGTTAATTTTATAATGTAGCCTAATATAAGAAAAGTTTTTTTTTTTAGTCATACATGGTTCAATGTAAAATATAAAAACGTTCGATACGCACTCGCCATTTTTGGATTTTCAGCGCATTTTAACCACGCCATATCTGGAGGAATCGCAAAAGTATGGAATGGAAATTTCACTTGTGGTTCTTGAGCTGAGATCATAAGTACCTAATATTTAACAAAACATTGTTAAAAATATTATATTAAAAGTAAGATCAAAAGATGTTTGAAAATAAATTAATGCACCTGTAACAAGATAAAGATGATAAAGGTTTTCATTTTATAAATTTTTTTTTTTTTTTATCTTTATCGTAATCACTTGAATGATTTGTGCTTTTGTAAAAAAAATAAAATAAAAGGAAAGGAAAGCAAAGAAAAGCTCATGCCATTTTATAACAAAATTTTCAAAAAAATATTTATTTTACCATTTAAAAAAAAAAAAAAAAAAAAAAAAACTGATAATCAAAAATTTTATTATCTGGATATTTTTAGCTCAGATGTGTTGTGTTCGTAAAACGAAGGTTAAACAAATTCTTGCCATTTCTCTTGCATTTAATAGATTATAGAAATTGTCTAAAGACGCACATCAAAGAAGTTTCTTGATGGAATAAATCCATGCCTGTAAGTTCAGGGATCAGCATCATAATGGTTTCATATGGTCAAATATTTACCGATGATGTACTTTTAAGGGGCTCATTCCAAATATTATTAATTCATTTACATAGCTTCACATCTTTTATTTGAAGGTATTGCAAATACGAACTTTGTCACAAAATAAAGACGCGATTCTCCTAAACACGACCGACAATTGTCTTGAGTGAACAATCTCAATAAAGATCTTTCATATTATCTAAAAGGAAATATTAAATCTGAAACCTTGTTTAGATGGCTCTAGACTCCTAAAATTTTTTTTTTTTTTTTTTTTTTTTTTTTAGTATTCGTAGAGCTTTGGATACTTAAGCTAATTACATTGCTGTTACTGCTGAAGGAAGTTAGATGTTCGTTAACAGCTTGTTTTAAAGTACTTTCATTGGTTTTGTGAATCGTCCCATTTTAAAAAAAGGTTTGAATAAAGTTTTTATTACCGTTTCGTCATGTGAAACATGTTCATGTACGCACGTAAATAATTTGAGATAAACTAGATGTTGTACTTTCAGTGAATTTTTTTTTTTTGACAAATTTTTGAAATTAATTTTCATTTTTAAGATGGCGCAGTAAATGACTTAATTAAAAAAAATTATAATATCAAATGAAATAACTAAATTCTTACATACTGAATTGTAATCAGGAGAATAGGGGGTAAAAATTCAAGTCATATTCCTTTTTCCTCACAAATATTTCGTAAGTATTGACTCTTATGTATAGATGCATTATCTAAAATTAAACACATTATTGTGCAGGATATGGTAACATTTTTGGCAGCTTATTATAAAGAATACATTAAATGTGTTAAATTTTATATTTGCT